AGCACCCTCCGCTGGAATTCGAGTGAGTTTCTCACTTTCTTGATATTCGAGTGAGTTTTCCGTAGGTCTGATCCTAGTAGACCATTTTAATGTATCTTGCAATAAAATCCTTGCGTATCCTTTCTGAAGTACTCATTGAAGCCTCTTCATTGCTTGAGTAGCCTCAAGTATCCTGTAGATCCATGTGTGAGTAGTAATTAAGGTCTACTGCAGAAGCCTCTTCTTTGCCTAAGAAGCCTCAAGTATCCTGTAGATCCTTGTGTGGGTAGTAATTAAGATCTGCTGCTGTAGTATACTAGCCTCTAGACTGGAGTACTTATTAAGGTCTCTTGGAATTTTAGCCATGCATATCCTTAGTGGAATACTTATTGAAATCTCTTAAAGTAGTAGCCTGGCCTATCCTTCCAGCTCGAATTCGCTTTTGTTCAAATTTGAGCGAGTTTTTCTGAGGTCTGATCCTAGTAGACCTTTTTAATGTATCTTGCAATAATATCCTTGCTGAAGTACTTATTGAAGCCTCTCCATTGAGTAAGAAGCCTCAAATATCCTGTAGATCCATGTGTGAGTAGTAATTAAGGTCTACTGCAAAAGCCTCTTCTTTGCCTAAGTAGCCTCAAGTATCCTGTAGATCCTTGTGTGAGTAGTAATTAAGGTCTCCAGCAGCAGTATCCTTGCCTCTAGGCTGGAGCACTACTTTAGGTCTCTTGGAATATTAGCCCTGCATATGCTTACTGGAATACTTGTTGAATTATCTTTAAGTAGTAGCCTGGCCTATCCTTGCAGATCTTTGCTGGAATACTTGTCAAATCAAATCTTGCAGTAGTTGCCTTAAATATCCTCAGTGAGTACTTTTTGAAGTCTGTTTGAGCGGAATCCTTGTTTATACCTGCTTAATTGTCCATGCAGTGGTACTCTTGCTTAGTGTGGAAGATCCATGTTTTAGTTCTTATACAAGTCTCCTACTGTATTATCCTTGTGAATCCTGGCTTCATTTTTTTCATCCACCGAATTGGTACATTTTCCAGCCGACTCATCAACAATTGATATTGTATTTTTTGTAGATATGAAATCGTCTTGCGAAAACCACCCACCCCCCTCCCAATCCCCTACAGCTTTACCTTGTCGCCCAATTGGATGTTCTTAATCCAACTATTTTCAATTTCAAAATTCCGAATCACAGTACGACGTAGTCAGAAAATATTTTGGATACAACCAAATCCACCACGCCCCTCCCCCTACAGCTTTGCCTTGTCTCCCAATTGGATGTTTTTAATCCAATTATTTTCAATACATTTGAAAATGTGTTTTCGAAGGAAATCAAATTCCAAATCACTTTTTGGGGTAGTCAGAAATTCATATCAGAACCATTTCAGACGGTGGCGCCCAATGACAAAATAATCGAAAAAATCCACATTTGAAGCCGATATCAAGTCCTAACAACATTTTTCCCAAAATCATTCGAAAAATCATTTTTCGGAATAGTTATTTTCACCTAAATCCCGGTTATTACCCTTCTATTGTTTTTGTTTCTTTTTTTTTTTTTTTTTTTTTTTTTTTTTTGTGGCCACACTGCTTTATGGCGAGCCATTTGAAATAAAGACAAAACCAAACTAAACTCAACAAAACAAAAAATAACAACAGAACAACAATGCCAAACGACTTGTTGTTATTGCCACTGCAATTGTGTTGATGACAACAATGATGAGGCAAGTGTGGCAGTAGCTGCAACAGCAACGCGGCAGTAAACATAACATCTCTCTTTTGCATTGTCATTACTTTTTCAACGATTCAACAGAGAGTAGTAGCTCGCATAGATGATGACAATACAAATAAACAGACAGACACACCGACACACACACGCACTCATGGCACAATAGAGGGTAGACAAACACATGAATACTTCAGCATCTCTGACACACTCTCACACACTCTCTCACATACACTCAGAGTTTAAATAATGGCACAACACACAACAACGACATCAAAAATGGGAACACTTTAAACCACACAATGTAAAGATGGTTGGTTTACTTTACTCTGAGAGACACTCACACACAGACGCACGCACATGGGTACTTTTTTCTGTGAAGGAAATTATGTTTTTTTTTTATTAAAACAAATTCTTATATGACAAAAAGGTATTCCATTTTTCAGTGGAAGAAGAAGAAACAAAACAAAAACTCCTTTTTTCTCTACTTCTCTCCTCTGCCACCACTTGCTCTCTCTTTGCCATTCCTTGGAAAGTAGCACAAAAGTAGTTCTGTTGTTGCTGGCCAAAAGTGTGTTTTGCTACGGCAACTTGTCACACATTGTTCAAATGTGTGACAATAAAATGTTGGTAATTAGTGAAATGATTATTGTCACAAGGAGAGAGCGACCAAGGAATGCTGCCAATTCCAAGCCGACTGTGGGAGTCCCCCAAAACACACATCTTGGCATGCAACTTCTCCATCTTTTCCCCATCCCCCCATTGCAATTAAGGTCACTTTTCCGAAGCATAAGACGAGGAGGAGGACATCGAAGACGAGCTGTTGACTGCTGGAGCTGTCACTTTTTCTAATTGCACACAAGTGCATCGTTTTTATGTTGTTGTTGATGTTGTGCTCTGGAAATTTGTGGATAGCAAACTTTAATCATTTCCTTATAACAGCATTTCTTGTTTTTTCTTCTCGCGCACACACAAACAGTGATACAAGCCAGCTGCCAACATTGGCGACACATACACAGCGATAACGGCGGAACAAATTGATTTTACAGATCTCATAATTAAACTAGACACCCGGAAAAAAATCTCCAACAACAAAGAATGTCCTGATGGAAAGAAAAACAAAATCACTTAACGGATATGGGGAGGAGAACAAAGAAAAAACATGAATATTTTCTTGGCAAGAAGCAGTCTTTTTCAACCCACAGGAATGGAGGAAAGTACTTTTTGTTTTTCAAGATTGCACACATGACCGCAAGTGAAAATGAAAACAAAAACGGAAAATATGTCCAGAATAGAATTGTAAAAAAAATTTACTTTCGAAAAAAAATTTGGAGGCATTTTCGAAAGGAAAATTTAGAACATTTTCTCTAAAAAAATATATTTTGGAAAGCAAGGTTGGCACAAAGTGTCGATCACCTCAAGCAAGCGCTTCGCCGGGAATTGGACAAAATACCACAGAGAAACATTCGAGCAGCGTATGACGGTTTCATTGGCCGTTTGAAGGCCATACTTGGTGCCAAAGGTGACCAATTCGAACAAATCTAAACTTCTTCTAAAATTTGATGCTATTTCCGACATTTTTTGCTTTCATTTAAAAAAATTAAAAATAAATAAACAAAAAATTATAATTAAAAAAAATTTGCAATTCTTCGTTATAAAAACTAAAGATGTATTTTTAAGGGAAAATAAGACATTTTCTTAAAATATTTTAAATTCTTTGGTTATTTTATTTTTTTTTTTTTTTTCTAAAGGAAAATTTAGAAAATTTTCTATAGAAAAATTTAAAAAATTAATATTAGAAAATTAAGAATTTTTTTATAGTAAAATTAAAAAATGGCATTTTTTCTTCATAAAAATTTAGGTTTTTTTTTTTTTTTTGGAAGATAATTTTGAAATTTTTCTTAGAAATTTTTAAATTTCTTGAAAAAAAAATTAAATATGAAAGTTAAAAAAATTTAAAACATTTGTCTTAGGAAATTCTTCAAGAAAATTGAAAAAAAAAATCTATAGGAAAAATTGGGCAAAATTGAGGAAAACAACTGCACCAACAAAAGGTAAAGTTACATATTAAAAAAAAGTTACATATTAAAAAAAAAATTGAAAAATTTTTAGAATTAATATTAAAAAAATTAGGAAAACTTAGGAAAATTTAGCAAACATTTTTTTTGTAAGACTTATTTTTAAGGAAAATTTAGAAATTATTTCTTAGAAAAAATAGAATTTTTGAATATTTTCAAATTTTAGAGAAGAAAATATTTAAAACTCATTGTTCAAAAAAATTTAGAACATTTTTCGTAAAGTAAGTAAAATTCGCCAACTTTTCGTTATAAAAACATACGACTTATTTTTGAGGAAAATTTAGAAATTTTTGAATATTTTTTGGTTACTTTAGAAACATTCATTAGGAAATTCTAAAAATTAAAAAAAAAATTAGAATATTATTCATAGGAAAATTCAAAATATTTTCTTCAGAAACATTGAAAAAACATTTATAGCAACAAAATTTTGGAAAAAGTTAACTATTCGAAAAAAAAAGAAAAAAACTTATAAAATTTATATAAAAAAATTTAAGAAATTTTGGCAATTTTCGTTATAAAATTTACGATTTTTTTAAGGAAAATGTAGACATTTTTCTTAGAAAAATTTTGATTATTTTCCCATAGGTTATTTTTCAATAGGAAAATTCAAAATATGTGTTTCAGCAAAAATATTAGAATTCATGTTTTAGAATAATTTTCAATGGAAAATTTAAAATATTTTCGTCTGGAAAATTCCAAAAAAAAATCTATGGAAAAATTGGGAAAAATTGAGTATAAAAAACTCTGGCAACAAATCTTTGGAAATATGACATATTCGACCCTTTATATTTGAATAATATATTTTTTTTTCGAATAAAATTAAAATTTTTTTTTTTTGTGATGAAATGACCAGTGTGAGTTAGTGACATTTTGATATTTAAATATATATAAATATTATTTATAAATAGTATATTACAAGTTTCAATGTCTACTTTTTTACTTTTTGTATATTTACATTTTCAAACTAACCTACAAGATTGACTTATTTTGACTAGACAGACGTATGTGTGTGTATGAGTATGTTTGAAATTTCAATTTTTTTAGGATGTCTTTTCAAATTTTTCTAATTTAAAACAGGGCTGAGAAGTTGTGATGGCAAGAAGTCTAATTATTATTTTCATTAATTTTTACTTCAATTTTCAATAGCATTTTTAGTTTCTTTATTTTTCAAAATTTTAATAAATTTAATGAAATTCAATAAAAATATAAGAAAAAAATTAAATCTGACTTACATTCGAAAATTAATTGATCTCTCTGTTTGTCTCGAATCTGAAAAAGACCAAAAAGTGGCCAAAAATCCATCAAATTCATAAAATTTGTTTATGTGATAAACGCTGCAGCAGCATCACTGAACATACCCCATATAAACCCCGTTCCTTGTTATTCTCCCCTCATTGTTACTCTCTTTCTCTTGTTATGCTAATTGTAGAGAAAAAAAAACGGCATTGATTACCAATACCGCAATCACTAGCATAAATGTAAACAGAGCAAGAACAAAAACAATCACACAACAGAGAGAAAGAGAATTATGAACCTTAGAGAGAATTAGAAATAGAATTTAAGAGTGCAAACCCGTATTGTTGGGTTATTACTCGTGGATAATAGTCGAGGAATAAATAGAGCGTCAATATAGGCATATTTATTTGTTATTTTTTTATTTTTTAATTGTTTTTTTTTTTTATTTGTTTCTTCCATTTAAAAATCCAGACTTCTCACCCCAATTTCTAAGCCCTGTTTTATAATTACAAAATTTATTCTTTATCCTAATTTTTTATTTTGTTTTAATTTATTTTTTTAATATTAATTTTACTGGAATATGTTCACACTTAATTGTCAAAAATATGTTAATACTACAATGTCTTGTTGTTGGCTTTATTTTTTTTTCTTCCTTTATTATGACCTAGAAAATCAGTTGAAAGTTTCTTGTTTTTTGGCTTCTTTTTTTGTTTTTTGTATTTTTTTATTTTTTATTTTTTTTGCTGCCTTTTTTGATACTTTGTTTCCAGTTCCAGCTCAGACACGTATCACATCTCCTGGTTGAGATTTGGTTTTTAAATCACTCATACTACCATCCAGAGAATCTCTTTCGCCGCCCGAGATCCCCGCCACATCCTGGCCCTGCTGGTCCAACTGTGTGCTTGTGGTCAGTGAGAAGACATCATCTGTGTTGGCGGTTGGTGGTGGTGGTGGTGGCGCATCGCTTAGTAAACCACTCAGAGTGGGTCATCTCAGCGATTCACGTCACATAAAAACATCGGCGCCACCCCCACCGCCACCACCTCCAACCCCATGGCCAGCTGGGTTGGATTTTCGCGGTGTTGTTGGCACGCCATGGGGACACGTTGTACCCACCGCCGAGCTAGTCGCCATACCAGGCACCATGCCTTTTGATTCATCCTCAAATGTCACCATTTTCTCGCGTGGCTTCATAACAATTTGGACCTGGGGCGGAGGTGGACCACATATGAGAGTCTGGGGCGGCCCCAGTTGTAGGCCATGCGGCAGGCCCATGCCGGTGGGTGAACAACGCCTGGGTGGCGGCAGTGCCAAATCTCCAACGCCGGATAAATTGAATTCGCTAACACTTCGTGGCACGAAGTACTCAATATGGTGTTCGGGTATGCCCGTCGATCTTCGTATGGGGGTGTTGCGTTGGAAATTGGAGTTCAGTGTGCGCCGCGGCAAGGAGTTGTACTGGGAAAACATGTGGGCTGGTCCAAAGAACATGGTCTGATGCTGGCCCATTGTGTTGGGGCCGGGACCGCTGCCTGCAAGCAGGTCAGCGGTGGGTCGTTGTCAAGAGGATTTGGGTGTCACTGAAACTGATACCAGCGATACATCATCCGACTGGGGCATAACGTGATCCTGCACACTGAAGCGACGCAGCCACATCACCAACTCGGTTTGGATGAGGCTAAAGCACATGGCCACCACGGCCATGCCGATGAGTATATAGCCAGAGGCTAAATATAGCGTTAGATTTCCCGAGGGTGTTAGTTCGCCAAAGCCAATGGTGCCCAAGGAGGTGAAACAGAAGTAGAGGGCCTCCAACACACTCCAGTCCTGCATTTTGTGGAACAGCAAGGCGCCAGAGGTTATGTAGCATATCAGGACCATGACGCATATGGATATGGGTACACTGGGTGAACCACCTGTTGAGCTGCAGTGTTTGCTGAGAGCTCCATATTGGTGATGATGGCCGGGTAACATTTTGGGTCCCGCAAAATGTTGCCCTGATTTGCTTTTGTGTTTCGACTCATTGCCGCTCTTTTTGTTCCCCGAGGATGATTGATTCCCACTGGACGGGTTGCCACCCCCACCACCGCTGCCATTGCCATTGCTAACGGTACTTTTTGATCTGGCCTTGCGAAAGAGGCAACGCATACCCGCCGACAGGCCCTCGCCCATGGCCGAGAGATACAGCAGGACGATGGGTATGCCAAACAGGGCATAGATCAGGGCTGCAATGCGACCCCATTGGGTGCGGGGTGAAATGCCACCATAACCTGTAAATAAACAGAGACAAAAAGAGAGAGAGAGAGAGGGAAGAAAAAGGGAGAGAGAGAAAAAAGAAAACAATTAGAATCAATTCCAGATAAGGCTGGGAGGTATTAAAGGTATTAGGTCTACATCAATTACTAATCAGTCGTCTAAGCAATGGAAAGAGAGGGAGAAGGGGGAGAGAGAGTCCAGCAGACAACAAGCTCGTTAAGCTTATCAGATACAGCTGCTTTGGCAAATCAGGCTATATGTATGTGTGTGTGTATGTATGTCTGTGTGAAAGAGATTTTCCCCATCTCCTCATTCATTCATCCAGTCGTTGTCACTTGTCCGGCCACATGTCCGCCGTCCTTTTGTGCCTCCGTCTCCTCCGTTGTAGGCTCAATTTAACCTCAAACCACAACGAATGGCTTAAATGTTAGTCCTGTAATTTTGTGGTCACAGCCATGTGTTAATTCGCACTGTCACAGCCGTCGGCCAGCTAAGACATCTGCCTGGTAAGGATGAGCAGCAATGTAAACATGCTCACACCAAACATCTTGATTAAAAGGCAATATATGGGGACCTAACAGGGGAGGGGGTAAGTTTATTTTAAAGCGCTATCTGGCATTGCTTTGGTAAGGATAACAGAATGTTTCGTTTCGTTCCTCCTCCTCCTCCCGCTGACTAGCCTTAAGCCTGTGGTCAATTTAAGCTTTATGGGTTCTTGCAACACAGACAGACTTGCCACGGAGCCTTGAGGCGAACAGTGGGAAGAGAGGATTAAGGGAATTAAAATTTAAAGTAATTCTAAAAAAAGGTAAAACAAAAAAAATTCCAGTAAAAAAATTTACTTTTCTCTATTCAAAAATCTCGGAATTTTCCCAAGAAAACAATTTTCGAAATTTCCTCGGAAAAAATCTCTTTAACCTTTAACTGTCGAGGTGAAATTTTGGGACGTATTCAATGACGTGGTGGTAAATTTTACCCCTATCAATTTTACAAAAAAAAAAAAGATTCTTTCTCTCTTTGGACCAAACCCGTTACAGGGCATTTGGAGTCGATCTAGGGGCGTCGGTACATCTATCTGTCTAGCTGCTGCGAACGATAACTCTCAAAGGGAGTATCCGATAGGGTTCAAACTTATTACATCGTAGTATTATTATCAAATCCAGATCGAGTTCGCAGATAGGCAACATTGGTCCACTCCTATTGGTACCTCCCCAACAAGAGTCAGGTGAGAAAATGGACATCAGCCCACGCCATCGAGTAGCTCCCCCTCAAAAGGTCAGAATTTGAATAATTAAATCTCTTATAAAATTCTTAATAGACATCTGAACCATTCCAAACTTCACACATTCCTCTACTTATACTAACGCAAGGTCTGTTGTGAAGTTGGTAGATATCGGCCCACTCCTTGTGGTACCTCCCCCACAATAGAGTCAAAATTTGGAATAACCAAGACAATCATAAAATGCGAATTGAGCATCCGATTCTGTTCAAATTCCACACATCCCAATATTTCAACTTAAATAATATCTGGCGTCATGAAGGAATATATTGGACCTCTCCTTCTGGCACTTGCCCCACAACGGGTCAAAATTTTGGAATAATTATATCTCTTATAAAATGCGAAATAAGCATCCGATTGTCTTAAAATTTCTCCCATTTTAATATTTCTATCAACAAGAGGTCTGGTATGTATAATAGATAAAACGGACCACTCCTCCTGGTACCTACCCCTATAACGGGCCTAAATTTTGAATAATTATAATTCTCATTAAAGACGAAATACCCGATCCGATTTTACACATCCCAATATTTCTATCAACACAAGATTTACTGTGAAGATTGGATATATTGGCCTACGTCTCCCGGTAGCTCCCCCACAACGGGTCAAAATTTAGAATATATATAACTCTCATAAAATGCGAAATAATCATCCGATTCTCTTAAAATTTCACACATCCAAATATTGCTATCAACACAAGACCAGGTGTGAAGATGGAATATGTAGGTCCACTACTTCCGGTACCTCCCCCATAACGGGTCAAAATTTAGAATATATATCACTCTCACAAAGGGCGAAATGTGCATCCAAATTTCTTCAAACTTTTCTATCAACACAAGACCAGGTGTAAAGATGGAATATGTAGGACCACTTCTTCTGGTACCTCCCCCACAACGGGTCAAAATTTTGAATAATTTGATCTCTCATAAAATACGCAATAAGCATCCGATTCTCTTCAAATTTCACATATCGGAATATTTTTACTAACACAAGATCTGGTGTGAATATCGTAGATATAAGCTCACTCCTTCCGGTACCTCCCCTATAACGGGTCAGAATTTGGAATAATTGTATCTCTCATAAAATACGCAATAAACATCCGATTCTCTGCAAATTTCACACATCTCAATATTTTTAACAACACACGGCCAGATGTAAAGATGGAATATGTAGGTCCACTACTTCCGGTACCTCCCTCATAACGGGTCAGAACTTGGAATAATTGTATCTCTCATAAAATGAGAAATAAGCATCCGATTCTCTTTAAATTTTGTAAAACTCAATATTCTCACTAACATAAGATATGTTGTGAATGTCGTAGATATAAGCCCACTCCTTCTGGTACCTCCCCCATAACGGGTCAGAATTTGGAATAAATGTATATCTCATAAAATACGCAATAAGCATCCGATTCTCTTTAAGTTTTAGATATATCAATATTTCTACTAACACAAGATCTGGTGCGAAGATGAGCTATATCGGCCCACTCCTTCAGGAACTTGCCCCACAAAAAATAACAATTTTGAATAATCAAAAACTCCCATAAAATGCGAAGCAAGCTCCCGCTTCCTTTCAAATTTAGCATGTCTCAATATTTTTATCAACTCAAGATCTGGTGGAAAGATGGGACATATCGGTGCACTCCTCCAGAAAAAGCCAAAATTTTTAAAAAGGATTTTTTCGATTTTTTTTTTTTTTAATTTTGAAAATCCCAATTTTTTTAGTATTCGATGAAGTGCTATTCCTCGATCCCTTATATCGGGTACTTCAAGCACATTTCATCACTTTCCAAATTTAACACAAAAAAATGGAAACATTTACTCAAAAATAATTTTTCCTAAATTTATCCTTTGGCCACCACCCTAACCACTGTCTGGTGAGCCCACATTGTCACCCAACTTCAAGTAACATCCATGCATGTACAGACACATAAATATTGGATGAGTGGTTTACTCTGTCTCATTTCTGTTCTTCTACCCCAACCCCCCCCCCCCCTTCCCTTCTTCAGCTCCCAAACTCTAAGAAAAGCATAGCAATTTTCCAAGACAACTGGCAAATGGCATTTGGTCATTGCCATCATGTCGCCCATGCCATCCATGTTCACGTACTGTCGCTTAGCAAAGTGTTGTGGAGAATTGCGGAATTAAAAGTTTTCTACTTCAGGCATTTACACTCTAATAGCCTTTAATGGGATGCTAATAAAAAACGTATAAAAATAAAACTGAAACTCTATACAAATCAAATAGACGACTAGATAGAAATGCAAGTGGTCTCTCACTCTCTCTCACACACACACACACACTTACTCAGCCACACTCCTAGAGCAGACATTTAGGCAAGATACTTGAACAGAAAAATCAGACTCTTCCCCAATTTTCCTCTCCTCTCCCCCACACTCTTCATCAATATTAATGGCGGCTTTCAGAAAAGGGGACAATAAATGTATTTTTCTGCTTCAAAATAACTGAATAACTTAAGAAGTGTAGCCAAGGAATGGGCGGAGGAGGTGGGCGCTGCAGATTAGCAGAGCCTGGTGGACACCATGAACAACACAACTCTAACGAAACAGACCACACAGAAAAAAAGTTACGACAATTTTTCCGTTTCTCATTGCTGGAACATTACAGGCGTTGTAAACTTTTAATGTGGAAACTTTTATAATTGAGTAAAAATTGCAAAAAAAAAACGGAATCGAAACGAAAAGGCCAGCACCAACAAAAATGCCAGAGCAATAAAACTACACAAATGAATGTGTAACACTTACACACAGCCAAAGTGCCTGGCTCACTCTCTCCCTCTCTCTCTCAAATGGATGAAATAAACACACACCAGCTCTCTCATATACGTTTGGGATACTCCCACACACAGATACCAGCCACATTACCACAGAGAGTGTGGTGGGAGCTACCCCCCCCCCCCCAAACAATGTTGATATACCCTTCAAAAAAAAGAAATTATGCTGGTTAAAAGGTTATAAACATTTGTTTGCCCTTTAAGCCTTAAAAGTGTAATCTTGGTTACGTTTGCGGTCTAAATAATCTCCAGGGAGTTAAAGGTCATTTAAATGGACTGGATGGCCAATAGGTTATGAAGTTTTGGCTAAAAAGGGGGGGATAAAAACGAAACAAATTCCATAACCATGGAAAAGTACACACACACGCACACACCCACACCCACACATAGGAAAAAAAAAGTTTGACCCCCCCCAAATGGCCAGGGATGGGAGATTAAAAACCAACAGAACATAAAATAAAATTAAGCTTTTAAATTTTAAAAGCTTAAAAAATAAAATTATTTTTAATTACAAATTTAATATTTTCCCTCGTTCTTTTTCAGGATATTGAAGAATATAATCAATAGCATTCCAGCACAACCTTGAACTCCACGACCTTCAGCGACCAATTTCCAATGATGTGAAATTTTCCTCAAAAAGCAATATCGCATGAGAAAAAAAACCGTGTTTAACAATGAATTGATGTTTACACGCTCGCCTGAATGATTGTCAATGAAAAGATAATTCATTTTAAATTCCAGGCTTGTCTGAAAGCATATGTCAATACAGACAACAAAAACAACAACAATGAAAATAACAAAAAATCGGTAAAGGAAAAACGCTTCGTAAAGGAAAATGTTTAATGAGTTTTTAAGAAAAATTTTTGAAGGACAAGCAGGATATGAAAGTGGACTTTTGAGAATATTTCCTAAAAGGATCAAAAGAGCATAAATCGGTACATT